CTTGAAAAAATAACCACCGTAGTACGAAAGTTTAATAGGCGTTTTAAAACTACCAATATCACGAATTGAGTGTAAGGTTAGGTCAAGGGTTAAAGGTCAATTGAATGTCAACACTCCAGACAAGACATCAAACAGACATACGCTGAAGCCATCGGGCTGTATCGTGATTGCGACATGTTTTGACTGTTTGGGGAGACTGATGCCCTTAATTGAAATCCTCAGTAAACACGTCAAAGACATGAAGGATTGGATTCATTATAGAATGCTCTTGAGTCGTCTTGGGCATGCGCACAAGGTGATTGCGCAGCTTAAAATGCATTATACTAATACTGTTTTAATGAATGTAAACTTTACAACCAAAAAAAAACAGATTGAAGTGGACAGGATGTTTGTTGATTGGTATTTTGAAAGTGTAAGAGAAATTAAACGTGTACACGCCTATCGTTTTCAAAATATGATAAGCTATTTGTATTCGGGAAATGATGCATGTGTATTTTGTCTCTGGGTTGTTTGATCAAGGTTACAACATCCGGGGCCTCAGTGAAGATTTCAAAAAGTTTTATGATAGATACGTGGAGGACATATTTTTTAAATAGATGCATCAGTGACAAAATGATGTCCGATATAATTCCCTATTTTGACTTATGTTCCCGTGAACAACTGAATAATTGGCATGCCCTTGCATGTGTTTGTGACGGGTGTCACCGTCGGTCAGGATACGCTCACCTTTTCGCGAACACCTTGTATCAACTCCATGTATTATCAGTATTTGATAGTGAGTCATAGATCCATGCGCATGCTTTAGTCGGAATTTTACAATGGATTCTGATATCTTACAAAAAACATTGGTTGTTGTCGCTTTTAAAGTAATGTTATTTAGTAAGAATTTAAAGGGTTAAACAGAAAAAAAATATTTTATAATTTTATTGTAATGTGACAAAGGGATGTGGAGATATCCATAAACTTACTGGCGTGTATGAATAAAACATGATATGTATGAGCACTGCCATTGTTTGAAGACGTGTGTGAATTGGTAATATGACTGAAGTTAAATATTCATTGCAAGAAACAATTTAAGAGCAATAAAACAACACCTTGTGTTGAAAGCCCATAGATTGCTCTGGATAAACAAGCCGCTACTTGCAGCTGAGAGTAGATAAAAGTAAGAAAAGCATATATTTTCAAAATATTTTCATTACATGGTAAACAATGAAAGGGTCGCACTATCTCATTACAAAACAATTTAAAAAAAACAATTCCAGTTATAACAGGTCCATGCTAAGCTAGTCCTACGAAGCATTTAGATGACGTGGGACGTTGCTCATAACATCAATCACTGGTTTGTCTGATCCAGTTCGTTTAATTACAGGCAGCAGTCAGACAGCTGGAATATTACCGAGTGCGGTGTTGAACAAACAAAAGTTTAACAAACAATTTAAAAATCAAATAACAAATAACACATGTCTATACACACATACAATTGCATTTGTAAACTTAATTACAGTTTAATTATTTCCTTCAATTTGTTTATATTCAATTAATAAAGGCAAATTTAAAGCTATTAACATCTAAGAAATCAGGAAACAAGTATTCAAAAAAGTAGTGAAGGTGTTAACAGTTATTTAGTTACTGTGTATTTCAAACAATCGCTGAATGAATAATTGAGACATGCATTTCCCATTTTGTCAATGATACGTTGCCACTCGTTTCCTCACAGCAATCCTCAAGTAGTTAAGAGAGTCACGGGCAGTGACACAACCTGACACAATATCTGTCACGGTAAGCTTGTCCGGATGAGGCGACAGTTCAACACTTCCCAGCATGACCAGACGGAAAAGGCTGAAACTTGGGATGTGGTCACTAAACCACTTAGAGATGTGGTCACATTTTAACACTGTCATATATGACGTACTCCTAAATGTGATTTGATTGCTTGAACGTTAAACTCTTACATGTTAAAACACACTTTAGGCACGTTTGAATCCACGGAGTCGAATCCGAAATCGTATTACTAAGAGTATCGTGTTGATAATGCCTTAACATTTACTAAAATTGATGACGTGGCGTAAAACTAAAACCTGTCTCCATGTTGCATTGTAGGTAAATGATTTTCACGTTAACTTATATATCAAATAACATTTTGCTTTGATTATCAGCTGACTATACCAACCTTGCCTCGCAGACCTTTCACTTCTATTGAAGGTAAATGGTTAACTTTTCACGTTAACTTGTATATAAACTAACATTTTGCTTTGATTGTCAGCTGATTATACCAACCTTGCCTCACAGACCTTCTACTTCTATTGTAACAAACATACTGTGATAACCGGTCTCCCTGGAGATCCCCGGGCCTATTCAGTGATGTCAAGTGCCAAACTGTTATTTTGACGTTTTGTATATTAATTTTAAACACTCGATATGCCACCCTGATAAGATATGGCAATCTGGGTCTCATAAACTGTGTTAGATTACGTCCATGTACATATGCATCCCATATAGAAGTTTTGAAAGATGACATATATACAGACATAGAGATAAACCTTATATATGACTGGTACCATCCCAACGTCATACACCCCCAATCACTATTCTATCTTACTTCCTCAGTGTAGCCAGGAGGCGTAAAACAGTAAAACTGTACTGTTTTATTGTCATTCTTCCGTTTTATGGATGTCAGTTGCCGAATGGTACGCAACGCCTTATAAAATAATTTCACCCTTTGCCAAATATATATATATATATATATATATATATACACGCACCATACACACAAACACACATATATTTTTACACACACACGTGTGTGTGTGTGTGTGTGCGTGCGTCTTACAATTTTATAACAGTTACTTTGTCGTTTAAGCAGATTATCCATGGTGTCTGGTACAATAGACAGCCATAGGTGGTTTATTTAAAGATCCTTCACGAACAAGAGGGTTGGTTGATATGAAGAATGTGAGAGTTTATGTGACGCCTCTTTGAACAGTATTCCACATATATCCGTGCCAGCTTGATGTGGGAGGAAAGCCCAAAGTGATGCATGTTCGCCCCGATTATGTTTCTAGGTTTGTCAGCACCATACCCGTGCTCGTGGGTTTCACCAAAGTGGTAAACGTCTGAGACCTGCATCACTTCGGGCTTTCCTCCCACATTAAGCTGACACGCCGTGATATAACTGGAATACTGTTAAAAGCGGCGTTAAACCCAACTCACCCACCCACTATTTACGTAGTTTAGGACATGGATGCTATTCCCATTATAACAGTGGTTAGTGAATAAGTGAGTAATGATTTGAACAGTATTTCAGTTATTTCACGGCGTGTCAGGGTTTAAACCGTAAACATAACGAGCATAAGGATTCAGACCAGGTCCAATTTTAACTTAGGCTAGCTGATGGTAAACGTGTACCTAATCTCTGACTCACTGCAATCTACAAAAAGCAATATGTAACAGCCTTAAGGTAAGTACGTAAATAACACACAAAAAATATACATACGTAGGCGCAAATTACACTGTATGTATTTTGAGCCTCCTTTAGTAAACTTTTTAAACGGAATATATAATATGTATATGTAGCGTATTGCTGATTGCAACGCTCGCTCTAATAGTACATTGTTGGCAGTTAATAATAATAATAATAACAATATGATTAATATTATGATTATGATTGTTATGATTATTATTATGATGATTATGATAATGATTATTATGTCTTCAAATGTCAGTGGGAGTACACAGTAACGTAATAGTGAGGTCATGAAAACTGTCATCGCGTCGTGTCACATGGTAATGCTACAGAGGCCACAGCATCATTGTTGTTCGAGGGGCTTACTACACATAGATGGAAGTCGTGACACTGTCAGATGCAGCGGACCGTGAACGGGATAATATATTAGAACATTTACATCCCCAGCTGAACATGACACCTGACTAATAAAGGCGTGTAGCGTATTTTGTAACAGTTTCTATAGTTTCACTGTTTCCTCCCCGCTACAAGCACCACCCTCCTTGTACTCCTCAGCGCTGTGCCTCGGTGGCATTGAATATGTGCCTTTTCGGCTTCATGGAAAGGATGACTTCCCAAAACATGAGAGTGATGCTGTTTTGAATGGCTGGTAACATTTTGAAACTTATTTGTTAAACGAAACGTTGCCATTGGTCAATGGCAGTGTCCAGATACAATACGACAATGATTAAGTCCAATTAATGCTGTATCATTATTGTTATAAAGATATTTATAATCTCAAAATGTGTTATTAATTCATTTTTACATTGAGTATTTCACATTGTGTATTTTTCGATATCACATGTATACTGATATAAATTTAAAGTACGTATAATTTCAAAATATGTTGCCGAAAACATGTTTATTTGTCTATTCCATGTCGATATCATGACTGGTTTTAGTTAAGTGAAACTTAATCGCTACACAATATTTCATCATGTCAAGATAATATCAATATCAGTTGAAATGATTTGGAAAGGCATGGTACGACACACACGTTATACTATGCATGTCAGTATCAAGACTATCAGTTGCGGTGTTTAACAACAAGCAAACAAGACTATCAGTATTCAATGAGCTGTGATTCTCGTCACCCCCGACTCATGTATGTTTTGAAAGGACTGCCCCTCCTTTAGGCGTAAAGTTATTGGACCATTTCCTTGTTCTATGAGACAAAGAACTGTTATAATCTGCAGGCGACAGCCTGGAGCTATACCCTATTGTGACTCATACACTCTGATATAATGAACTCATTGGATATTAACACGAATCAATTTCGTCTCGATTTGAAATTGAACAGCACCATTTGGGATTGATTGATTGTCAAAATCAACACGAGACATTGTCATTTATAAAAATGAACTTAAAATACAAATAATTCCTGTTACCATGACAATACAGATGCTTGATTTGCAGAACCATCTTGCTGATCTTAGCATCGACAATGTCACGTGGGAATTCTCATGAAATTGACATGAAATGTACAAATGCTACTTACCTCCATCTGAGAATATTAGGAGAGCACATATCACACAGTATATCCACGAGCTATCCATTTTGCTTATAGTTAGAAATCGACGACTACTGGCATTAGCGCTCGCTCGCTTCCTTACGCTCATATAACTGAGCGCGGTGCGGTGTCGGGTTTCCCGATCTTTAATTGGCTCAGTGACGGAGGCGTCACGTGACTGTTGGGCGTGCGGCGAGAGCGAGTGAACGCTTCCAGGAGACTTCGCTATTGACAGGAAATGATTATACAAGGACGGACGACAGCAAGACCCAGGAATGAACGACACACTATTGTCTTATGCACGTATTAGACGTATTTGTTTTGTCTGTTTCATGGGAAGTAGGGGAGGGAACAAGATTTAATCATTCACAAAAAAATCTCGAGCAACAGTTATAACTGTACATATATATGGGCTTTGATTTGCCCGTTCCAGGCTTATTTGAACAAAATTATTAAAAATGTATTTATTATTTTAATACGGGTCGAAATGATTGGTAAGAACATCTAATACTTAGGGGTTGGATAATGTGTAAACCAGGGCCCACTTGCACAAAGCGATCTTAGCGCTAAGATGATCGTTAAAGTGTCTTCCAAGTGTTTACTCTCTAAAAAAAGAAAAAGAAAAAGAGAGTTTACTCTCTAAAAAAAAAGAAAAAGAGAGTTTACTCTCTAAAAAAAAGAAAAAGAAACAGAGAGTTTACTCTCTAAAAAAAAGAAAAAGAGAGTTTACTCTCTAAAGAAGAAGAAAAAGAAACAGAGAGTTTACTCTCTAAAAAAAAGAAAAGAATTTAGCACAGGAACCCGTTATTGGTATAAAATATGTACCCCAACTCTGCTTACATATGGGGATACATATTTTATTTACTGACCAATAACGACTTACTGTGAAATGTCCACTGTTTGGACTTTTCAATAAGGCAACTCTAATCTAGTAATAATGACATGGTTATTATATTCTTTAATGCAGAGGTATTCTGATAAGGCTTTCAATACAATTACGTGTCTTCCTCTTTATTGTGTCTATTGGTCCTGTTATCAGTGAAATCAAGTCATCTCGACAAAGCCATACAATTGGTGGAACTATATTCATGACATTAACACTGACATTTGCTGCGCATTTTCCGGGTTTTGTATCAGCTTCTGAGCAAGTTTGAATGTATTACTAATAAAAGGTTAACTATCACCCGGTTCTTTCATATCACTAAACTCAATCTGTCATGCAATGACAGCTTAACTATAGTAATATGAAAGAATCGGGTCGTTAACGGTTGTTTAGTTATATATATACCCCGTACTATAGACTAACGCTTAGTTTCTGAAAATATATGTTTGAAAGACATTAGCAAACTTACCTTTGATTTAAAAGGAGCCCCAGTGAGATTGGATATTCAGAACCTGTGGAAAATCTAGACTTGCTTCATTTAGGGTTATAGATTGAGGGCTGGGCGAAGGGGAAATAATATGGTTCAGGGACTGTGAGACTTCCCATACTACTGCTATAGTAACAACCTACCCGTGAAGATCCGGGGAAGAATGGGTCCACCCATGCTTATCGTAAGAGGCCACAAACGGGATTGGGTGGTCAGGTTAGTTGAATTGGGTGATGCATATCATCGTATCCCAGTTGCGTAGATAGATGCCAATGACATCACTCTCTGGATTGTCTGGCCCAGACTCGATTATTTACAGACCGCCGTTATTGAGCTGGACTATTGCTAATTGTAGCGTTAAAAACAAACAAACAAGTTACAATCATGTATGGCTGAGTGACATGCTCGAAGAATAGAAGAAGAAGAAGAAGAAGAAGATTTATTGTACATAAACACCCACAAGTGGCAGGCTACAAAGCATGGATATGACGAGTTATAACAGACAGTTATTAACATTGATATACACAATATAATACAAACCTTGTATTATTAAGATGCAGATAGGAGATGCAGATTTTCATTGTATGAACATTTTGTTTTGAGATTTTGTTCACTGTGCTGGTTGCTTGTTAAACGTATCTCACTGATAACCATGATGTTCTAGTTATATATAGGTTCAAAGGCATTGTTTTTAATCAGAGCGTCGAGACTTTGTTTTCTTTAGATATTTGCTGAAAAACAAAAAACAAAGGACAAATCTGAAATCCTTTGCTGAATCACTTCAACCTTGGAGGTCTGGCGTTGTTTACAGGGGAACCATCAACAACTTCTATAAACATACATAAGGAACGTTTAACATATTTGACGGTCAACGCCACTTCACATGAGGCGTACTCACTGAACAACACTGAACCCGTATGATCACCAAACATGATGGATGTTGCCGTGACGAAAGATGTCTCGTGTTCGCTATGACACGGGACCTGGGGTTGACATTTCAACAAGAGTGCTTCCGCGGATCACTGAAATATACACGGTGTAAAGCTTGTACATAGCTCTTATGTTCGGTTGCTGCCCCCGAAAGACCGGTAGGAGTGGAGCCGTTTTGAAATACAACCTTGGAGCGGGTTGTTATTGTTAGACTGGTGAGTCGTGGCTTTCGATGTTTGAGCAAATACAACATTTTGTGTTGTTTGAATGAAATGAAACAACAACACAAACACACCCTCCCCTTAGCAACCAATTACATTCTCTCCCGTTCTGTTAGCAACCCAGACTCCTTCCCTAATTTAAATAACCTCCATCCCGTCTCATTAAGAACCCACATACCATCTCCTACCCTCCATCCTATAACCCCTACAACCCACACGTCTTCCATATGCAAGCAACACAAGCACTCCCGAACCCACCATCGTTCCCCCTACCAACTCACGTATCTCCACCTGCCTGTCAGCGTTAAAGGAACCCACACACGTACGCCTCGCACCCTTAAATTACATCTCCCTCTATCCAACATCACACCCCGTGCTAACTCATGTACCCCACCCCCAGCCCAATCCCAAACCCCACCCCCCACCCCACCCCCCACCCCGCCCCCTCCCAACGCCAACGCCAACGCCCTACCCATCCTCAATTGCGTTCCCAAACATCACGTCACCTACCAACTCATGTACCCCCTATCAACGTCAACGTTAACGTAACTCACACATGAACGCCTTACCCATCCTCAATCACGTTAGCCAGTTGTCACATCCCGTCCCCCTACCAACTCATGGACCCCCCTATCAACGTCAACGTTAACGTAACTCACACATGAACGTCTTACCCATCCTCAATCACGTTAGCCAGTTGTCACATCCCGTCCCCCTACCAACTCATGGACCCCCCTATCAACGTCAACGTTAACGTAACTCACACACGGACGCCTTACACACGCTCAAATACGTTAGCCAGTTGTCACATCCCGTCCCCCTACCAACTCATGGACCCCCCTATCAACGTCAACGTTAACGTAACTCACACATGGACGCCTTACACACGCTCAAATACGTTAGCAAACATCCCGTGCCCCAACCAACTCATGTTCCTCCCACCGTTTATCAATGTCAACGTTAACTTAACCCAAACATGTACACCGTTCCTTCACCTACACGGTCGACCCGTGAAGATCTGGCGTAGAATAGGTCTTCAGCAACCCATGCTTGCCGTAAAAGGCGATTATGTGGAACCAGGTTTGACAAAGGACAGATCCTTGGCCTTGGTTGTGGATAGTGTTTCTAAATTTTTCTAAATGGAACCATAGTCTAGTTTAGAGCGTATTAACGATCTGTACAAGTGAAGGAGAACCGTGAAGATCCGGGGTAGGATAGGTCTCCAGCAACCCATGCTTGCCGTAAAAGGTGACTATGCTTGTCGTATGAGGCGACTAACGGGATCCGGTGGTCAGGCTGTCTGACTTGGTTGATGCATGTCATCGTTTCCCAATTGCGTGTATCGATGCTCATGATGTCAATCACTAGACTGTCTGGTCAAGACTCGATTATTTACCACCGTCATGTAGCTGGAATATTACTGAGTGCGGCGTTAAACAACAAAAAACCAAACTAACCTACATGGTCATAAAATGACCATCATCCAACAACACCTTTATCTTCCAACCCATCTGCCAACACAATGAATCTTCTCTAACCGCAAGCCCCCACCTCCACCCCCACCCCCACCCCTCGGCACATTCCCCCTACAGCACGCCCACCAAATCAATTCACGCAATATATAACTAATGTAAATCTATCTCTGAATATATTCGAAAATACATATACAGCCGAATCCACGTCAATATTAATAACTGACGAATGAATGATTGACGGCTATCGACAGCGACAAATGCGCAAAGCAAGAAACAAAAACTCTCACTACTTTTGATAACATGCACTTCATGTCCTGTGGTTGATCCTATTCCTAGGAATTGTTTAGTCACATCGCTTCGAAATTACATAAATGCAATGCATTGACACGAGTGTGCAAGTGGAGCTCTCCGTAGAACGGATATGGCTCAAGTTGTTTTTATACAGAAACTGACCTCAGGGGATGTCTTCTATATTTAGCATAGATAAGTACATCGGATGATTTGATCAAGGATTTAATGGTGTTGTGAGTTTAGGACGTAAGCATTTGCAGAAGTGTTATGGGTAGAAACATTCAATTTCTAGGACACACTACCGGTGTGTAATTGTCCTGAAGCATTGTCCTAATGTATATATATAATATTATATAAAACAGACGGTTGAACAAGAAGGACTACAAAGAACCACCCTCTCTCGGTGTGTGTATATATATATATAATATTATATAAAACAGACGGTTGAACAAGAAGGACTACAAAGAACCACCCTCTCTCGGTGTGTGTATATATATATATATTATATAAAACAGACGGTTGAACAAGAAGGACTACAAAGAACCACCCTCTCTCGGTGTGTGTATATATATATATATTATATAAAACAGACGGTTGAACAAGAAGGACTACAAAGAACCACCCTCTCTCGGTGTGTGTATATATATATATATTATATAAAACAGACGGTTGAACAAGAAGTACTACAAAGAACCACGAAATGAGAGGAATACACACCCCGAGAGAGGGTGAGCCGAGGTGAAATGGGATTTAACGTCGCGTTCAAGATAATTGCACTTATGTAGCGACGTGCATGCATGTGTGTGTGTGTGTGCTTGTGTGTGTGGATAACGCCGATTT